AGAGGCTTAGGCAGATGGGGGGGCAGCGGGGGCCGCTGACCGTGACACCCGGGTGTAACAAAGCAAAATGTTTTTGGCAGGAGGAAGCTCATTAGCCCGTTCAACAAAAACAAAAATCTAGAAATTAGCCACAGCATTGTATAAGCTGCAAAGTTCAAAGCCTGTGAAAAAGGTTGCAACTTATAGACCAGAAAATATGGTAATACAAATAATGTATACAATTATATTTGTTCTACATCTGTTTAAGATCATCTTAGAGTTAAAACTGTAAAAAAAAAGACCTAGCATTCTTTGAAAGAATGCATATCGCCCCTTACCTTTCATGCCAGAGTTTTAGACTAAGATAATTTAATGATGAGAATAGACAGTGATGTAGCCATTAGGGTTTGAGCGACTGGACAAATATATCGTCTGCCACTGGAGTACACCATGTGGCAGAGGTTTTTAAGGACAAATTTTCTGCTTTATTTTAGCTAGTGTAATTTTCCCCTGCAAGAGTTTTGCCCTGTACATGACTGTACAATTCAGATCCAAACCAGTGCAAACTGTAATACATGGTGAGTATGTACATTGCAGGAAAGTAGGTTGTTGTCCAAGATTTGATCAAACATTGACTGATCCCAGGCAGCACGGTGGCGCAGTTGGTGGCAGCTCTACCAATCTGTCTCTCAGCGAGCAGGTCAACCTGGTTCAAATCTTGACTACCCCCCCGGAACCAAAACTGAACAAGCAGGTCAAGATAATGGATGACTGATGCCACAATTCTCTCATGGTCATTTTCACCCCATGAGGCAAGATTCTGATTGGAGCTGCAGATCAATGGTCTATTTACATTTATTTAATTTCTTAACAGTTACAATTTTAAGTAAATCTGCCAAATAGCCTTGTGCAGTTATAATATTTTGTTCCTGAGGTTCTAAGACAGCTCTTTGGCTTTGCTTGTGGTGAAGTTAGAACGACAGAAATTGATTCAATGGAGCAGTGTGCTTTCTACACAACAAACTGAGATCATGATTGATTGACTGACTGACTGATTGATTGATTGATTGATTGATTGATTGATTGATTGATTGATTGACACATAGATTGTCTGTCAAAACCAAAATTCTGGTGGCTGGATTATTAGGAATTAAACACTTATTTCACAAGTCAATGTGCCGCAGAGAGATGAAACAGTTCTCAGAGCACATTAACAGACTCTCTTGTGTTTTCACAGAGACAGCTTGTACATGTAGCTTTGCTGAAGCAAGAACCAGGAGCATCATTCAGCCTTGGTGACATTTCTGAGCTCTGTGTCTACTCATCTGGTGAACCGTTTGTTAGTGATGACATGAACTACGCCATCACTGTCTCTTTTACATCTACACACCCCGGATTGTACGAACAGTGGTTTGTGCTGGATTTTGACATGAGACCAGTGCTCCTAAAGAAGCTCAGAGTAAGGGTGGGCCAGCAGTTAAAACATGACATTGAACAGCCAGTCTCAAATCCTGGAGCCACTCTGCAAAGTGCAGAACGTTGGCATCGAGGGAACAGGATTGTGATCCCATGTTCATTCAGGACAGAGGAACAGGAGGAGCTGTTAAAGAAGTACAAGTCTCCACAGATGAACATTTCTTACAAATCTTCTTGCAACAAACACACACCACTGACCCCAGACAACTACAAAGAAAGGATGCACCAGTTCCTTTATGATGAAGAGCTAGCCGAAGACCAAATTATCTCCAGGTAAGATTCTCTTGTTTTTCTGTGAACAAGTTTAAAACTTGCTTCTGTTTGCTCTAATTTTTATTTATTTATTGCCTTTACTTTAGGCTAAATGTTTGTGGAGGTATTACAACAATGGATATGTTGAACAGCCCACAGTTTGGCATGAACTTTGCTCCTCCAAGAGAATTGTTCTGTACTGTCTCAATTCCTCATACCCTCACAGTTGACAGTCTTGAGGGGCTGGTACTGAAACGAAGTATCCAGTCAGGCCTGATAGCTCCGCTGAACTCAAGTCATCCAAACTCCAAGGTTTATGAAGCCAGCATTCTGCGGCACAGAACAAGTGAAAACCAAATCATTTTACAGCTGCCTAAACAGTGCTGTTCTGATCTTGCTCTCAAAAGCAATGAATCGTATCAGATGGAGGTGCAGTTTCAGCTGGACCGCTATAGGTTCTGCACCCTGCATAAAGCTGTAGACCTCCTTCCAGATACAACCAAAGTTCTGCCTGACCTCATAAACTGTGGTCTTCCTGTCAGCACTGTCACTTTTGAGAACCTGAACACGAAGCAGCAGTCAGCAGTTCGTTTTATTATGGGAGACTGCAACTGGAAAAAGTCTATGGCACCTCTCCTCATTTATGGACCTTTTGGAACTGGAAAAACTTTCACCCTGGCTACAGCAGCCAGAGAACTTTGTAAGCAGCCTCAGAACAAAGTGCTGATTTGCACCCACACTAACAGGTAACGTACTGTTCACAATGCACTTAATGAAATATTTGGGTTAACATGCTGCAAGAGCAATAGATTAAAACCTTAGACATTCTCTTTGCATCACTTGAATAACACCAACTTTCTGAACTTATTTCATAGAACTTGACAGACATCCAAGAGAACTGATACTGATAGAAACAAAATGTTGAAATTTTACAGTCATGGGAAAAAGATAAGTACCCTCTTTCAATTCAGTTCAGTTCAATTTAATTTATTTATATAGCACCAAATCACAACAAAGTTGTCTCAGGGCACTTTACAGAAACATTCACTTACATAAAAGCCAATTAGTGAAGTTCTCTATCTAAGGAAACCAGCAGACAAGTTGAATCTTGGCTTCATTGCAGTCTCCCATCCTGAGCAAGAACAGTGGCAACAGTGGAAAGAAAAACTTCAACGTTCAAGGGTTTTCTGTATCAGGACATAATAAAAATGATCTAGTCTTTACCAGGCCCTAAAATTATTTAAATCTAACCTCAAGTGTTTGAAAACATGCCCAGATTTTACCATGATATTATTCATTAGGGATGCACGATAATGGATTTTAGGCCGATCTGCCGATATGTTAAAACTTGTTTGATTGATAACCAATACAAATATTATATATTTTCCTTTGTCAGAAAATAGCCCTCTTATTTAGGCTTATTTACTATAAAAATTGTGTAACAGCTGTAAGTGCTGGTGACAGTCAGTAACAGCCATATGATATGTATAGCACTTTAACTTATATTAAATGAAAAGTGTTAAATGTTATTTATTATCATTAGTCACCTGTGATGCTGTCTCACTTGTGGAGGCTTGTTCCAGGTTCCTAGTTGCAGTGTGGGATCTGCTGCACTCCTGTGCATGAAGGACATACTTTTTAAGAACAAAGTTTTTGTCTATCCATTGTGTCGTAAGACTAATCACGCTAACGGGCTAACATGACGTCTAAATGTCTGTGGTAAAACTCACCCAAGTGCTATCGGCTATTAGTTTCTCAATGACGTTGGAACTGACAGCTTGTAACTCGGGTACCATGCCGATAATATTGTGCATCCCTATTGTTTATTAAACAAGAACAAAGTGAAAATGGAATAAAAAATGTATGGAAAAACTAAGTGCACCCCACGCTTCAATAGCTTGTAGAACTTCATTTAGCTGCTGTCTCTCGCATTGTAGTGGAAGAATTTGGTCCATTTTTCTTTTCAAAATTGCCTCAGTTCATTTTCAGTGATGTTTTCCGACATTAGTTTTTGCACTGTTCTAAAAAATCATTTCACTGCATTTTAATCTATCTGGGGTCTGGGCTTTGACTGGACTGTTGAAACAGTTTAATTCTTTTCTTGTTCACTCAATGGATTTGCTGCTGAACATGAGGTCATTGTTCAGTCACTTCATAATCCAATTTGGTCCAATTATTTGGTTTAAAGAGGAGTTTATGGTTGAGTCAATGACTGCAAACTGTCCTTGTCCCGTGGCTGCAAAATCATTCCCCTCCGTGGTTAACAATTAAGATGACACATTTGCATTGATAAACTGCGTTTGGTTTTTGCCAAACATGGTTCTGTACTTTAGGGGCTGTGTTAGCTCAGTGATCAGTGTGGTGCTCTTGGAATGTTGAGACTGCAAGTTTAAGCCAAGATTGGCTCAGGAAGGACATCCAGTGTAAAACAACTGCCAGATCTTTCAGGCAAATGTGCAATTTGGTTTGTAATGTAAAATTGTGTTTGTAATTTTTCTGAGCATTGTTCAGTCTGACCTCTGGTTAAATTTGCTGGAAAATCCAATCCTGAAAAGATTGACAGCTTTCTTAAATATTTTTCACTTGTGAATATTTTTTTCACTATGAAATGATAGACTCCCAAATTTTGGGAAATGACCTTTAATATTTTCCAGACTGATAGGCAGCAACCGTTGCTTCCCATGTCACTGCTGATGTTTTCTTCCTTGGCTTTGTCTTAACACACACAACAGACTTCTTTTTTCCATGACTGCAAATATGTAAATTGTTAACTTATAGTTACAGTTATTGGAAAACTCTATCATAGCTAAATATATTTTCCAATAAGTTAATACAAATACAGATTTTTTTAAATTAAAGTCTTAGAAATATTATTAATACTTGACAGCAGTAGGGATGCAGTGACAGCTTTTCAAGCTCAACACACAGACTACACAAAAAAGTCAATGAAATGTGTAAGTAGAAAGACAGGCAGGGAGATTTACTTAAACTGATTAAAGTGTTTAAACTTTATTATGTCTTTATCTATCTTTCAGTTCTGCAGACCTGTATGTCAGAGATCACTTCCATCCACTTATCAGCAAGAAAAACAATGAACTGAGACCAATACGAATAAAAGCAAACAAACAAGGCAGTGCTGTTTTTGTCACAGATGAGATTACCTTAAAATACAGTTTTCTTTCAGAAGATAAAAAGAATTTCTTGCCACCTACAAAAGCTGTCATGGATGAGCACAATGTAGTCATAACTACCACATCAATGGCCCAACATTTTCATGATCTAAAGCTTGCAGAGGGATACTTCACTCACATTTTAATTGATGAAGCATCACAAATGCTAGAATGTGAAGCTCTCTCGGCTCTCAGTCTTGCAGGGCCAAACACCAGAGTCGTTTTCGCTGGAGATCACATGCAAATGGGTCCCCAGCTCTTCTCCGTGGATGATCATCATCGTTCAGATTACACACTCCTTACTCGCCTGTTCCATTACTATCAAAGTCAAAAGTGTGATGTTGCCCAAAGAAGCAGGATCATTTTTAGTGAGAACTACCGCTCAACCAAAGAAATTGTGGAATTTGTGTCGACTCATTTTTATGTTGGTAAAAATGATGTCATTGAAGCTTCTGGAAATATTCCAGCTCCTCAAAACGGCCATGCCTTGAAGTTCCACCACATTAGGGGAGACTGCCACTTGGACACTGAGTCTATGTCTTGGTATAACAACCAAGAGGTCACTGAAGTGGTTCAAGTAGTGAAGGACATTCTCCAAAACTGGCCATCAACCTGGGGCACCAAGAACCTAAGTTCCATTTGTGTTCTGTCCGAAGGTTCTCAGGTAAAAACATTTCTGCTTTTTCTCAAACACCCAAGTTACCTAAAGTAAGGATTCACACATTTCTGACTTCAGCACTCGTATGAGTAACTATGAATGCTGTATATTATCAAATTAAATGGTGGGTTACTTAATTTTTATGTGCCTAATGTGTAATGTAAAGTTTACAAATTTCTGCTTTTCAAGATGCAGTGTTGGTATTTTCTAGGGCTGCAACTAATGATTATTTCAATAATCGATTCATCGGCCGATTATTTTTTCGATTAATCGATGAATCGGCAAAAAAATAAGAAACAATTTAATTTCCACCCCTTTTTTTTCCAAAATTGAATATTTGACTGACATAGCAATTCACACAAAAAACAGGTTGCTATTTGACTATTCTGTTAGTAAAATATTGAATAATAAAAAATAAAAGTTAGTCAAATAGCTTAAAAAAATTAATGTACACAAAAATATAAACAAATGTATATTTATACCTGCACAATATGTAGCTACTTTGTAAAATGTGTCATTGAGGGAAGAGTGTAACCTGGATTAAAAGTGTGGATTATTGTAACCTGGATTAAAAGTGTGGATCATTGTAGTGAAGCCTTCGTCTTCAACCATCGACAGAGGCCTCATGTCAGTGACGATCATTTAAGGATGATTTCAGTGAAGACAGCTGCTGCTGTGGTGTCCATGATGTCTGTCCATCATGAAGGCTGTTGTTGTTTGTTGTTGTTTTCTGGAATGAGAGAGTAAATATGTATTACATCATAATTTACAGCAACTCAAGAAATGCCTTGTTTCACTTACAGTGTTAGGTTCAGGCAAAAGTAGCTAAAAGAGCAATTAAACACACACACACACACACATAT